TATTTGTAAAGAAGAAGACACAGTATTTTATTGTTAAGAGATACTAATATTTTGCCAATATATCAAACTAACAAACACAGGAAAATATAACACATTCAAAACCTCTGACGTGTTCTTACCATCATAGTTCTTGGTCTAACGTATCTATCTTCTGGAAGATTTCAGAAGAAGCATTAAAGTCTACCCATTTCTTTTTTATCCCCCCGAGCTCTAAGTGATCATATGAATTTGTTTTATTTCTTTGTGTCTGTCCCTGTAAATTCTCCCTTTATCTGTACTCAGACCTCAAAGGACATTTGATTAGGTCATCAAATTTTTTCCTATTAAAACAGCTTGCACTAGTTCTAAAATAATAACAAAAAATCACCAACTGCCATACTCCATCAAATGGTGTTTTCCAAGGTTTTAATTATCAAAGATTTAATTGACTTATTTTCTTCATCTTAATTTGCATCTTACTTTTGGCATTTCCAGTAGCTGATTAGGAGTTTACTCTGACCACAAGGGCTAAATTCATGGCTAATCTTGGAAAACATGAAACAGAAAAAAACAATGACAACAAAAATCCTCAGCACCACCATTATTGTACCATCACAAATTTTCAATTTAAAATGTAGTTGTCAAAATGGGAACTTTGGGAATGTAACTTCAGCTGCCTTTCAGCAACTATCTAACATTCAAAACTGAAAGCATCTGGATTGTTACAGCTTCATAAGTAAATGGTCAGTTAAGATAAACTTAAGTAGTGCAGGAAGGAATCTTACTGTTTTATATAATCTCAACTTTCAAAATATATTTGTTCAGTTCTGACTTAAGTGCTTACTACTTCAAAAAATAAATAAATAAAATGAAAACAAGAGCTTTCTTTCCTACTAAAAGAAATTACTTATTGATCCATAACCAATTACATTTTTAGCCTGTGAAACGGTTCTACAATGATCACTCTCAAATCATAAGGGGCTGTGTTATTGAATTACTCAAACCACTGTTGTTTATTTTATGGTCAAAGGTTTTCGTTTACAAGAATAGGGATATATTTCCAATTTTGTTCAAATGTGGGCTTAGGGTCCCTTCATAAGTAAAGAAGTGATTTTTCTAGAGGTCCATACCAGCTCAGTATCCACCACATCTCCCTTATAGCAGCAAAGGAGTTATGTATCAAGGTTTCTGAAGGCTGCCTTGATAGATCCTCCTTATTTCTGCATCTCCTCTCCTGAGCTTGCTTGGCCATTCTCTTTGGATTCAGCCTTTGTCTCTACAAATACAGGTGAAACGCCTATATGCCTCTGGCTAAGAAA